GGGACTGATGGGATGAATGGAAGGGAGAGTGAATGAACTGGGGAGGGGAGGAGCCTGAAAGAGAGACCGGGTGTGCCGTAAATGTTCAGCGCTCAGGTCCAAAGCGCAACCCAGCTATGCGTGGACGTGGGCACCTCTTGACCTCTTGGCCTCAGTTTTCCTAGTTGAAAAATAGGCATAAGAGCTCCCCCTTCACTGACTTGCGCTGAAAAGGGATTTGGCACTTCAGAAGTGTTGGGTGTGTGATCCGTTAAGGCCTTCGAGGTCAGTACCGGCTAAGTAAGGTTGGACCAACAAGGCTTCACAAGGCATCTCTGAGGAGGGCCCTGTGCAGCTGAAAGGGCAGATCTCTATTCCAACAAACTGAAGAGCTAAGTCTGCCGTCAGTCTTGTCCTTCCTTTCATGCGTCAGGTGGATTGTCCACCTCCTCAATATTTAAAAGCGCCACACAACCATTCATTGATTCCTTTGCCAATTTTTTTTAAGAGGAAATATTTTATTAAAGTGCAAAAGGACTCCAGAGGTTGAGTGGAAAAGGTTTCTGGGGGATGTCACGGAAGGCAGCCAGTCAGCGCCAGCCTCTCTCTCAAATATGCAAAGCGATTCCCCCCCCCCTGAGCTATTCCTGGGATGGAATGCTTGCAGAGTGATCCCACCATGCTCAAAATTCAGCATCTGCCTTCACCCGTAATCTCGTGCTTAATGGACTCAGACCTTCCCCTGCCCCAGCCCAAGGCCCCAGCCCCCTTCCCTGCACAGCATCTCAAGATACAGCAGAATTAGCACCCCATGAGAGAATGACCCATCCTCACAGCGGGGATGTCCGTGTGGTTAGCAAATCTCTCCTAAAATGTGCAGAAAGCTCTGTGATCTTGATGGTATTCGTCCTCCTAGTGACGCCAGTGGTGGTAATTCAGTCTAAATCATACTGTAAACAATGCCATCACTGTACATGGTGTTTAAAAACATAAGGGGAAACTATAGGAGCCTGCCCCAAGGACTTTACAGTCTAAAACATGACAAGGAGAGGGTCTGGAAATAGAACAGCGATTACAGTTCCTTGGATAGCTTTTTAGCGCAGCAACTTTTAGAATACGGCGTCTCTTTTGGTTGCTCCATCTCAAAAAACGATACCCTAGAGCTTGTTGAATGTGCAGGAAGGGGCAAACCAAATGATCAAGGGGTTGGAATAGCTTCCTTGTGAGGAAAGGCTGAAGAGACAGGTTGGCCAAGAGGGTCAGAAAATGGTGCACAACGTGGAAAAAGACATGAGTTCTGGTGTCACCAATTGAAGTTGATGGGCAGTAGATATACAGCAGACCAACAAGAACACATAGGACACAAACAGCTTGGAGACCTTCCTGCCACAAGATGCAATGGCCACAAGCTTAGATTACTTTCAGAGGGAACTGGACACAGTCATGGAGGAGGAGCGGTCTTATCCACGGCTATTGGCAGAGACCTTTGAAGGCCAGCTGCTGTGGGATAAAACAGGAGGCTGGCTTTGGTCTCTGTACTCCTGCACGTAGACCTGCCAGGGTATCTGGTTGGTTGCTGTGGGGAACAGGCTGTTGGCCCAGATGGATCTGCAGGTTTCATATGTTCTTAGGAGAGAAGGAAGGAGATAAGACAGACAAGGGATGGAGATGAACTAATGTCTACTTAAGACTTTGAGATGATGGAACTGCAGAAAGGTGTGTTTGGAGCTCAGGTTTGAACCGAGAGAGATGTGGCTCCACATAGGTGTTGGAGGGAGGAGTTCCAGGCTTAAGAGGCCAGGAAGCAAAAAGAAATTAAAGCTTGCCAAACAGCATCCGTGCTGATACTTGAACAATGGAGAAGAAGAAGAAGAAGAAGAGATTGGATTTATACCCCGCCCTTCACTTGGAGTCTCAGAGTGGCTTACGAACTCCTTTCCCTTCCCCTCCCCACAACAGACACCCTGTGAGGTGGGTGGGGCTGAGAGAACTCTGACACAAACTGCTCTTTCAGGAACAGCTGTGCCAGAGCTTGTGACTGACCCAATGTCACACCAGCAGGTGCAAGTGGAGGAGTGGGGAATCAAACCTGGTTCTCCCAGATTAGAGTCCGCACACTTAACCACAACACCAACCTTTTGGTCAAACTTCTCATTTTAATGCTGCCCACAGTACCACTGATCAAGTATGCAGTGATGCTTCATATTTGTCCTGAGGATATCTCACAGATGGGGAAATGAAGCTGGCTTAGTACTGAGTCAGTGGCAGAAACAAGGGACACCCCCCCCTCCAGTTTTCCTGGTCCAAATCCAGTGCTGTAGTTTATTCATTTCAATGGGATTGGTGCATCAGAAGTCCCTGATGGAAGATGTCTGAAATATTGTAAACAGTGCGTGGCTCAGTGGCAGACCAGATGCTTTGCGTGCTGAAGGTCCCGGGTTCAGTCCTTGACATCTCCAGTTACCAGGCCTCACAGCATGTTTTAGGAAAGACCTGTCTCTACTTGAGGCCCTACAGAGCAGTTGCCATTCAGAGCAGACAGAGCCGACCTACCTGGGTCAAGTGCCTAACTCAGTAGAAGGCAGGTTTTCACACCCGTATACAAAGTGCCACTGCATATTCTCGGTCCTTTGACCTAATTTTATTAGCATTTCAGGATGAAGTAAAGAGATTAAAACAAGCAGCTGAGTGTGAAGAGCTGCATTTATTGGGTAGTATGCTTTTAGGAGGCTTCATCTACAAAAGAACCACAACTGGAAGTAGCCACGAGCAAAATGTGGCCACTAGGGGGCACAGGAGTCAACCAAACACCTCTGTGTTCATGCCTGCGAGAGAAGAGAGATGTCCCGTTATGTTCTGAAGCCGGGTATTGATTCATCTTTACCATTCTGCTGGAGCACAAAGAGAGAATGTACGATGAACTACAAGGGAAAGATGATACACCGAATCCTTGGGGAATTAATTAGGGGGCAAAAAAGCCCCTCCCCCACCTCTAAATTGATTTTGAGAAGTGTAAAGGGGGGGGGCTGATTTTTACTAGGGACTGAGCCAGCTTTGAAGAGGATTGGCAAGATATTCAAAGGAGCTTTGGGATGGACATGCACACAAGATGCCGACATTACAGCTCCCATCCGATTCTGCCTCCCCCTTAAGTTCTCCATGTTGTTCCCCCCTCCCCCCCCCTTGTAATAGAAGTGCATTTTCTTGGCTAAGGGGAACCCATGGGACTCCACATTTCCTCGGTCGCTACAGAAAGGTACCTTGGTTTTCCACCCAGTTTTTGCACTGGGTAAGATCCCTGCTACCCTGTCTGAACTGGACGCTAAGGATCCATTTGTTGAATGGTTCCTGGTTCCTCATCACGTTGACAGTGCTTAACTGTAACGGCCCCAGTGTACTGGGAAACTGAAATGGCTCGGGAGAAAGCCAAGCCCACTGGCACCTGAAGCGCTGTGATCCGATACTGTGCAGGGGCCAGTCAGCGCAGACTAGGCCAGCGGCACCAACAAAGAGAGAGGCTCACCTGTTGCCTCCTCTTGTGCTGCTAACAACAGTGGTGCCAAAAGAGACAACTACTGATCGTGGCTGAGACTAGTGGGCTCAAGCTTAAGCCTCCTTTGCAATGCTGGCAGAGCTACGGGACCTTCTTATTTTCCTTAACAAGTAATTGACACGCCAATATAGCCATTGTATCTCTGGGGAGCCAATGTCTGGCCCTGAACTGACCCCACCCTGGCCGCCCAAGCTGAAGACAGCTGGGGGGCCATCCCTGCAAAGGAAGGCCAGGAGAGGGAAATGGCTGGGAGGACCCAGGTGGGTGGTTCCAATGCAGCTGAGGACAAGGCCAGGAACCAGGCGGAACAGGGAGGGGCGTGGTCAGAAGGCAAGTTTGAGCCAGGACTGGGAGAGGCGAAGAGACAGCTCTTTGCAACCCGGAGGAAGAACAGGGCAGGGAGATGGGCAGTAGGGGGAAGAGGCAGGGCAGGCTTCACTTTCCTTTTATAGCCTGCCAGGTGGAGCAGGGTGAAGGGGATTGGATACAGGCCAGGTAGGGGCGGGGCCAGGGAATCCCTTAAAAGGAAAGGCACCACACCCAGCCAAGGAAAAAAAGAAGGGCTGAGTAATGGGGGGGAGGGCCAAGAGGATGCCAGTCCTGGCAAGGAAGAAGAGTTGGGTGGTATAAGCCCCTCTCCTTCCCTTTTAGGGGCCTCAGGGGAGGTGGCCTGACCTCAGACAGAACAACAGAAGGTGGCAAACCCAATGCAGGGTAGGAGGAGGCTCACAATCTCCATACCATTACATTGATATGTCAATTACAGTTTTGTTTTAAAAACTTCAAAAGCTCCTTCCAGTGCCACAGGTGGGAAATGGCTGTGATGGCGCAGGACTGGGGAACTCCTGAGTTTCCCACTCACACGGCAGCCAGCCTGGCTTTGCTGCAATGTTTGCCAAAACTTTGCAATGAAGCAGTTTGGTGAAGATTGCAGAAAAGTCAAGGACAATGTAGGTGGACTGATACCGCAGAAAAGGGGGGGAGAGATGCTTTCTCAAAACATCAAAGCCGGGCCAAATAACACATGTGTAAGTGACCCAAATCACAGATTTTCCGCCACCTTATCTAGTCCCACTGAGATGCACTTAATTTTCTCTCCTTGAACTCTATGAGGAAAAAGTGCTCAATTTGGGGTACATTGTACCCGTCCCCCAAGAAAAGCTATGGGAGAAGGAGTAGCTGTTTTGAAAGTGACAACCATGGGGGGCAGTGGAAGGAAAGACTCGAAAAATGCAGCTGATTTCCTTGTCTTATCTGAGCTTGATCTTGCAACATCTCTCCCAATGTGGAGCCCAGCAAAGCTCCATGTTCAGAAGCATTATTTAAACCTCTGAATTCCACTGCCCATAGGCAACATCAGGGGAAGGCCTCAGCCTCTATGCCCTTTTGTTGGCCCGCCAGAGTAACTGGTTGGCCACTGTTAGATTTGAGTCCAGTAGTACCTTAGAGATCGACAGGATTTGGGGGGTACAAGCTTTTGAAAGTCAAAGCTCCCAGCCCCACTAACTTCTCGCCATCTTGTCCAAAGGTTGTCCTAAGCCTGGCCTGACATTCCATGTAGAATTCTACAAAAGAAGCTTCTGTGCATGCTAAACTGCACACGCTGTGGCAAAGGAACAAGGTGCATGCATGGAAATGCTAGAACATGGTGGCAGCTGAATCCATGAGAGCTTTTGGTGCCTTCGCAGTGGAACATGGTTAAGAGGGCTGCAGGACACTCCTAGACAAAATGGAAGTGATTTCCTCCAGGGGCTTGGTTAGTGTCACCAAGAGGTTTTGGGATACTTGATCCAACTGCTCTGCAAGGCGGCCGGTGACTTGAAGCAGATGATCCATCATCCGTAAGTGTTCCTGTAACCTAAGCATATGAAGAAGGACACACGTTATCTTTGCTGAAAGGTCAATTTACCTGCAAAATGCTAAGTACGGGCATTGGCTTATAAAGCTACAGATTTCTTTTAAAAATCAATTATCTCGCAAATTCTACTAATTCAGATTTGATTGAAAAAGCAAAAGCGTATATCCCAAACTGATTTCTCTTACAGCATTCTCAGTTACAGACAATGCTGAATTATAAAGGCTGTGGTGGAAGGGAGAGGAGGAGGAATTGTTGCAAAGGATTAAATCTGACAAAGGAATGCTTGCCAAAATCTCGAACAGCAAGTTTTCATTGGCAAAAGTAATCTCAAAATGTTACAGAAGCATTGGAACAGCACCTACATGTCTTCATAAATAAACAAGTTCAAAACTCATCAGCAGTGGGGAAATCAGGGTTTAGTGATACGATGCCTGATTTCTCCGTAATACTAGGCTAGTTCAAACACATGTTAACTGACTGTTCATTTCCCCTACCATAGAGAAAAGCTCTGGGTTGGGAAATACCTGGAGATTTGGGAGGGGGGGAGAGCCTAGGGAGGGCAGGGTTCAAGGAGGGGAGGAAACTCAGCAGAGTATAATGTCATAGAATTCACCCTGCAAAACAGCCATTTTCTCCAGGGGAACTGATCTCGGTCAATTGGAGATCCATTGTAATAGCAGGTGATCTCCAGGTACCACGTGGAGGTTGGCAACCCCACGAGCCCTCCTGTGTACACATACCTCCATGCATGAGAGGGGTGTGCAACATTATCTCCTCTGCAACTGGTAGGTGGATTGTTA